AACTCTCATATAAATATACGCTATTTTTGTGCAAAGGAAATCATGTTCAGTTTCTAAATAAACATTTTAAAATCATATCAAATTGACACCAAAGCATTACAACTATAATGACTAGAGCCACATAACAGGCAATGATAGAGAAATTTGGTCTACACTGAACTATAATAATTTAACTAAAAAATCGAAAAATACATTTCTGTCTACCGCTCGATCTGTTATTGAAACCGTACTTTTATTTCTTGCTCCTAATGCTATTACTGATGTGAAACGTGATCTATTCGATATAAAGAACGATTCGAAATCCTGTTTGATAGATGAGAAATTCCTGGCAGTAATGGATGGTATAAGCGAGGCATATAAAAACTCAGAGAAGTGGACCACGCGCAAAGAGATTTTATCAATTGTCGCACCGAAAATAAGCTGTAAACTTATACAATCGTTTTCACCTGGATTAACTCTATATCGTTTCACAACAGCAAGGCGTCATGCTTTAGAATATGGACGTCAGGTTAAACGTGCTCCATCCACTTTGGCAAGATTTAGTGATTTTTAGGTGGAGCATTTTATAGACTTTATCCTATCACCACATATTTGTACTGATCTGCCTTTTGGCGAACAGCGTCTACGTCTTTCGACTGGTGTTGAACTTTACGTTCCAAATACAATCAGGAATATAATACCTTCGAGAATTGTTGATCAATATTTTGAGTACATTGCTGAAAATAATCCGGGTTTTCCTCCACTTGGTCCCACAAGTCTTTTATCGTTACTGAATTCGTGTAAAGCGTCCACAAGACACAGTTTACAAGGAGTGAACTATTTTGCAGCTAACGCTAGTCTGGCATTTGATAATCTTATTGATATGGTGAATGATCTATCATTGGATAGTGATTCAAAAAAAATACTCGTTGATGATGTAAAACGCGGACGAATGTATCTGAAAACTGATTATAAAGTTCATGTGCAAAAGTCGTCAACTATAGCTGATCATTGCATTAACTATACACTTTCACAATCAAATGACACTGGTTATGCCGAGAAGTGTGACCATCGACATGATGTATATGTATACATATATCTCAACCAAAAACACAATATAACGAATGCTGCAGAATTTGTCGAGGCCGTACATTCATATGAAGGAGTGAAAGGGGTACAGGCGTATGAATGTAGTCTTATTAGAAATCCGAAACCGACAAAAGTTACCTTTCCAAAAATTACATTTGTGAATAATTTCGGGTTTGAACACGATGGTATACGAGTACATAGGGCATGGAACGTCGGAGTTGGTAAATTACTTAAATGGCCGTTATTGAATACACCGAAAGCTATAGGTCATCTACAGTGTCAACCATGTTCCTCTAAGCTACAAGTGTCGTCCATTACCACAGTTCCTAAAATGTATCTGAAAAAGTGTTTCTTCTACTGAATCGACCTGCTTTTAAATAAAATATGTCTAGATTGAGACGAAATTTTTATTTGAGTGCATTCATTGAGAGATGAGTCGTGACTAAACCCACTATCTCCAGTGGGATATTCATGGAAAAAAAGAGCGAAGAAAATCATTGGATGTCAGCTGCTTTTAGTCTGCAATATACCAGAAAACTGGACGAATACTGGGTGTATTTTGGAGTTTTACCACACGCTATACAGACGGTATTTCACCGGTATTAGGCGCATAAAGTATAGATGATATTATTCGTTTTACAGGTCTCTATAGAGTTCTGTTTGTCGCACCATTCCATCGTCCATTAACCACAGCACTCATACTTGATGCAGCTGTTGTTAGTAATGGTATACCATTCAAGGTATTCTCTACAAAGTGGCCAAGTTTGAGTGTATGTTTAAGAGAAGAGCATTCCACTCTTAAATAGAGTTATATTAAGGTACCGAAAATTCAAAATTTCTAAGTTTATTTTTTCGACTGCATGATTGGATAGAGCTCGCGGACCCGATTTAGAATATGTTTACTTTAGGCAGCATGCATCAATAACTCACCAAAGACAGATACAGAGACTTTATTGGACAGGAAAGTAGGGATAAAATATATATGTACATTGGAAGCATAATATAAGGAAAAGGCCTACATATAGTTGAGAAGGGATGAACGAAAAATTCGAAGTACGTTAGGAAACAAGAGACAATAGATAACTTGCGTGATTTATGTGGAATAATAAATATTCAAACAAAAGAATAAGCTGTCGTCATATGATCGAGCGGTTTACCATAAAGCATAATACACTACATATGTTTTCGTGAACAAACAGAACGAATCTTAAAAAATCTTAGAAGAAAATTTTCAAATCTTTTCACAATCTAGATAAAGATGAGATTCGGAGTACACCAGTGAGTTATTTTTTAATTTTGTCAAGAAAAGAAAATTGAAAATCATTAAATTAGGATACTAATTTGAATTTAGTGATAGTAAAGTATTTTTGATTAAATAGATAGTTTTAGTCAGCAGTGAATCTTTCGGTAAAACTGCTTATACCTCTAATTATGCGCGAGAAAAACATTCGAAATATATATTTTCAAATCGAATCAAAATAAAAAAATAATAAAATTCCAGTGACTACAATTTAAATATGAAATAATATTGCATTTTCAGAATTTTCTTGAAATAATTTGTATTCACAGAAAATTCAAATAGAAGTTTATGTTAAAGTCAGAAATGAAGATATTGAACATTGAAGTAATATAGAATGACATGGGTAAGCTAATCGGTATGTAAACTGAAGGTCTAGAGATCGATATTCTATGTGTTCGTTTCTTTTCTGTTGTATTTAGAAAATCCTGCAAAGATCCTGCCAAGAAATTTGATAAGATCTTCGAGGAAACCCAGTCATATCCTGAAAAATGTGACCAGAAATCTTTTTTTCAATTTTGAACTATTGAAATCCTGACAGGATCCTACAATTCCGTGGCTACACACGTCATTCAGAAATCATCTATTTCATAACTCGATCTTAGTTCAACAATAATGGTAAACTTGTCAGGACCCTTGATAATCTTGTTTTGAATCGGCGCGGAAACATCAAAGATTTTTTGTAGGGAAATCTCTCACACAATCAAAGTTCAGATCCAATCTTTTCGACTAATTCCATGTTCTATGATCTCTGTTAATCAGTTTCTGAAAACTTGAGTCTATTTAAACGAGAGATGAGCGAAATATACGTTTTTTGATTTTTGAGGGTAACAGGCGAAAAACCGGATTTTTACCAAATTGGCTTCCAGACGTGTCCGGAAACAGACAGGTGTGTCGAGATGTGTGGACAAAGTGTCTAAAGACGAATTGACGAATCGCAACTTTTAAGCGTAAAAATGATGCAACAATTCGCGTTTTACCCTTATGTTGCGAATTCGTACCGAATTAATGCGAACTGTATCGAATTCGTACGGATACTCTTAAAAACTTGTACGAATTCTTCTTGCGAATTCGTAAACAGAGAATAGATCAAACACGATGCTGATCAATTCGCAAATAATTCGTAAAATTAGTTTACGAATTCGTGTTCACTGTTTTTGGAACTAGAATGATTCGTAAATACGAATTAGCGAATTCGTATTACGAACTGATCCGGTTGAAAATGGATCCAGGAATTGACAAACCCATTCTACAAATTCATTGCGAATCGCTGTGTACGCTTAATAAGCTACGTAAGGACAGGACACTTTTCTCTGAGATTAAAAATAGATAGATTCGTCTCTTCTCATCGATTCACATACTTCTCATACCAATTCGCCGTTATTCTTACGAATTCCTAAAATACGAATTGATGTCAGGGATAGGACACTTTTCTCTGAGATTAAAAATAGATAGATTCGTCTCTTCTCATCGATTCGCATACTTCTCAAACCAATTCGCCGTTATTCTTACGAATTCTTAAAATACGGCATGTTGTGTAAATACTCACAGCCATCCTCACTGCATTGAGAAGGGATGAACGAAAAATTCGAAGTACGTTAGGAAACAAGAGACAATAGATAACTTGCGTGATTTATGTGGAATAATAAATATTCAAACAAAAGAATAAGCTGTCGTCATATGATCGAGCGGTTTACCATAAAGCATAATACACTACATATGTTTTCGTGAACAAACAGAACGAATCTTAAAAAATCTTAGAAGAAAATTTTCAAATCTTTTCACAATCTAGATAAAGATGAGATTCGGAGTACACCAGTGAGTTATTTTTTAATTTTGTCAAGAAAAGAAAATTGAAAATCATTAAATTAGGATACTAATTTGAATTTAGTGATAGTAAAGTATTTTTGATTAAATAGATAGTTTTAGTCAGCAGTGAATCTTTCGGTAAAACTGCTTATACCTCTAATTATGCGCGAGAAAAACATTCGAAATATATATTTTCAAATCGAATCAAAATAAAAAAATAATAAAATTCCAGTGACTACAATTTAAATATGAAATAATATTGCATTTTCAGAATTTTCTTGAAATAATTTGTATTCACAGAAAATTCAAATAGAAGTTTATGTTAAAGTCAGAAATGAA